GTGCTACGTCAACATCAACAGGCCGAGGGGCAGCCTGGTCGAGGAGCGCCTGTACCCCCTCAGCGTCGGGGGGCAGGAGCTGGACCCCTGCGGGCTAGCAGAGGTGCGCAGCCTCTGGTCACACCCTGGCACTGCACACTTGCGCCACCGGCGCGCGCCGCACGCGCAGCGGCTGCCCCACACATGCGCATGGTCTACGTGGGCGAGGGGATGGGCGGCGCGCGTGGCGCTCGTTGTATCCAAGCTTTACGCTCCATCCGGTGCCAGTTTCTCGAGAGGGGGAGGGGGCTGTTGCCGGCAGAGCGCACACTCGCACGCCCTAGGGCCGCCACGCTGCCCCCTGTGATTCAGCGCTGCGGCTCGGATGGCCACTGCTGGCTTTCCCGTTCCCGAGGGTGCCAATCGACGGCGTGCAGGCTTGCGCTGAACACAAACAGCAACTTGGACCTCCTGACCGACCACAGCCACTGGCATCACTATCCTTGGCCCCCCCAGGAGCTGCTGTCTCTCCCGCCCAACGAGGCGGACGCGCGCGCCGCCGGGCTGATCGACTACTTTGGCTTCCGCAACACCTACGCCCTGGGCAAGCACCTGACAGAAAAGGTGAGCCTTGCTGTTGACGCTGGCATCCATGTTGTGGTGGTGGGCTGACCAGAGTCGGATAGAAGAAAGTGCCAGCGTGAAGCCAGTCAGAGGGGCGGGCAAAGCACGGGCTCCAGGGTTTCGTAAGCGATTGCCCTGATCGCGCGTATGCGGCTTGCCCACGCATCTCCTCCAGACAGCTTGTTTCTGCTTCATCAATCGGCACGCGCTGAAAACCCATCGATGGCCACCTGGTGCAGGCTGTCGCGGCCCTGCAGCGAGAGCACCGTCTGCCCCTGGCCATCCTCAGGCCGTCCCTGGTCTCGTCTGTGGCCTATGAGCCTTACGCCGGATTCACAGGTGAGAACCCGTCGACCTGAAAACAGCCACCTGGGGCGCTGCAGCGCCCCACAAATGGCACACGCACGGCTCCCTCCCCCAACCCACGTCTGTGCATGCCGTCGTTCTTGGTGATTGCTGCCACATGTTGGGCAGCTGGGCGGCCGCAAGGACACCAAAGGCGGCAACGCCGCCACACGGTCTGTCAGCTGTGCAGCTGTCTGGAACGCAAACCCAGCAGCTGCCGTCCATCGCCAGTGTGCGAGCTTTCCAGAGTGCGTCTACACTTTGCAACCTTGGACACCTCACCCTGCCCATGCCCTTGAAGGAAACTACGCCGGGCACCCGGGGGCCTGCATGGCCTACCTGGTGGGGCTGTACAACGACCAGCCCACCAGCGTCGCCACCGCCAGCGCCAGCAGCATCTGGGACGTCGTGCCGGGTGGGCTTTGGACGGCGCTTTGGCTGACAATGCGGGCAAGGCTCACCTGCACGGAGTAGCCTTGGACCGATACGCGCCACTGCAGGCAGGGCTTGCGCGCCGTTGTGCCTCAGAACAAGGATTAAGCTCTGGCTGCCTGTGCCGAGCCCAAGCAAGCATTGGCCGTACGTCCCCGATCCGCCAGCGCTGCCCGCGACTGAGCCAACTGCTCACCACGCCCCACCGCCGCCACCTCGCAGGCGACCTCGTGGCACACGCCTGCCTCGCCCTCGCCGCCGCCGCCGCCGCCGCGGCGCAGCCCGCGCGCCAGCGCGGAGCCGGCGCGCCGCCGCGGCTGCTGGTCGTGCAGGCCGCGACGTCCACCACGCACCCCCTGACCACCTTCACCATGTTCAACCACGGCTTCCAATGGACCCAGGCCCACGCGCGCCCCCTCACGCTCGCAACGCGCCGCGGCGCGCCGATGGCGGCGGGGCAGGCGTTCGACGAGGCGGCGTGGGCCGCGAACAACTGGTGGACGCACCTGAAGGTCGAAGCGGTCGGCTGGCTCTGCAGGTAACCTCGGCTGCTGCTCGTGCCCCGCCACCGGCCAGCAGGCGAAGAGGCGCCGCGGCGCTGCAGCGTTTGCTGCTACTGTCGTTGGCCTCAGCAGTCCGTCCGCGTCGGAGCCCAGCGCCTCAGCAGAGGGTCGCTCATCTGTGCCTGCCACGCCCAACACGCCCTCGGTGCCCTTACGTACCCCGGCCTCCCCCGCCCATGGTCAGGCGCCTCGGACGCTCCCGCGCCGCGCGGCTGCTCGGCGCGGGCTGGCGGACGTTCCAGACCATCAACACCCCAAAGTACGACCTGAACCTGCTCTTCAACGCCGCCAACCTGCGCCAGCTTGAGGCCGCCCTCGCGCCGGCCGAGCGCGCCGACTACCTGCTCGTGTGGCGCCCGCCGCCCGCCGCGTCTGCCGGCGCCGCCGAGGCCGGCGCCCTGCTCGGGCCAGCGCCGGGGCCGCCGCGGCCGCTGAGCCGCGGCGGGAGCAGCAGCGTGGGGAGCGGCAGCAGCGGCGCGCTGGCGGCGCTGGCGGGCGGCGAGGCGGGGGTCGTCTGCAGCGGCGGCGGCAGCGGGGCGGGAAGCCCGCTGAGCTGCTCGACCCCCAGGTCATTCCCAGGCTGCTCCATCGATGCTGAATGTACAGAGCCTGCCACGGCTGACTGTGAGGGCGAGACCGCCGACAGCAAGGCCGCCGCCTTTGGCCCCCAGTCTAAGACACCTGTGGCGGTGCCGGCGGCCCCCCCCGGTGCCGGCCGCGGCCTGAGGCCTGGCGCACTGCCGGTTGGTGGCGGCATGAGCTGGCAGGCGTTCCAATCCAACACGCTGGCCTTCATGTGGGTGGTCGCCCACGGCTGGGGTTGTGGGCAATGCTGGGGCTCATATTGGGGTATAGCTGCTGTTCTGTCACTGATATGTGCATGCCCACGCATTCACGCACGCATACACACACGTACGAACACGCACACGCATACGTGCGCACGCACGCACACGTACACGCACCAACACACACACGCACACAAACACTGCCCAAAAAACATCGCCCACCTTCATGACAGATCGTCACCCCGCGCCACGCACACCCTCCTCTAACCCCCAAAGGCACCGCCAGCTGTTCGGCGTCGAGCTGCCACGCGAGGCGCCGCTGCCCCAGCGCGCGCTGCGGGAGCTAGAGGCCGTCCTGCCCCCGGCGGACAGCGAGTGGGCCGCGGTGGCGCGGCACACGTACGTGCACATTGAGGCGGCATGAGGTTACAAGCCTGCCGGCCACCCGGCAGGTTGGCTCCGCGTGTTTGTGGGGGTCGCACCACAAGGGTGACGTCAGGCGCATTGCATGCAGACCGTATTCCAGCTTGTTATTGCCGAGGACGAGGCTCGCGAGCGCCTGACTGATGGAGAGAAGGGTCGGCTACAGCGACCGTGCTGGTGCTGCCGCAGTGCAAACCTTGCGTGCACCCTTTTGCCAGGGGAATCGGGACCGTCGCAGAGCATGCTTGCGGCGCCGCATACGCGCCAGCCACTGTGTTGCCACTTATATTGCACTTCAGCGGAAGTTGAGAAGAGGAACTTCTTGCCACCCCATTGTCATAACCTTGCCAGCTTGACAAGTTTTGTGCCTTCGTCGCTTCATGGCAGTGTCGTCATAATCCAGCAGCTGCCGAGCTGCTTCCAGACTCCGACGAATAACTTTCAAGATGAACATAGGACCCGAGCCTGTGTGGGTTTCCCGGGAGCTTGACTTGGGCGCACCCGTTTTCAGGCGGACGATTGACAGTACCCGCTTGAAGGCAGGGGAGTGGTAGCAGCTGGGAGCACCATGGGCGCGCGGATGGACGGGCCGACAGTTGACGCACGATGGCGTGCAGAATTGTGGTTGCATTCCCGCATGTGCATGCACATTTTCAAGAGCATGATTTGCTGCAAGGGTTCTCAATCGCCCCCTGCCAAGCATGCTGTTGCATACATGGCGAGCCAGCGACTCAGGCCACCCGCACTTTGAGGGTGGCGAGGCTGTGTCTGCCCGGCAGCAGCTTCTGGTGCTGCATCAGGCAAGCGCTGCATCTTTGGGCGGCTGGGCCTCGCGCAATTTTTGCAGGCCTTGTAACACCGTGCTGGGAGCGGTCGTGCAGCCACAGAGTCACTCAGGCTTTGGGCTGCCCAGGGGCAAGGTTGGACTGCCACGCCGCCTTGTTGCCCAGGCCCCGGTTGCTCCTGCCGACGAAAACTGCTTCATGCTGGCCCGCCAGCACCCCCTACAGCTCAGCTGACCCTAAGGTCAGCGGCTAGTGCAAGGCCGCCGCTGACTGGGCCATCTCCAGTCGGGGGCATGTCACTCGAGACACCCACGTTCTACCATATGCTCGTTCGCCACTCAGCCCACTGAGCGCGTGAATCCCGTATTCTATTGACGCAGCTTGAGGGAATGGAATAATCCTGGCTCGCGAGCAGTGAGGCACACACGTCGCAAAATCGCGCAAGATCCAGATACGGAGCTTACATCTCCTGGTGGACACTCGTAGATTCGCCTGATATCTTGATCGCGGGTTTGGCGTCTGCGCCGGGAGCTGGACCTGGGTCGTGCTGCGCATCAGTCTTAGTAGCGCGTGTCCCGGGGGCATCTGGCAGGCAATAGCAGCCATGACAGACGAACGTGTTCACCCCAAAAAGCGCACAGCATTCGCGCCCACGCCCCTGGTGGGAGCGGCCGGCGAGCCCCAGCGCAACGGCGCAGTCGACGGCGGCACAACCCCGCTAACACCGCTGCAGCAGCAACTCTTCAACGAGCAGCAGAAACGAGCGTTGTTGCATTCCCAGGTTCCTGGGCAGCAGCAGCAGCAGCAGCAGCCACAGCAGCAGCAGCCACAGCAGCAACAACAACAGCAGCAGCATCAGCAGCAGCAGCAACCGCAGCTCCAGCAACCGCAGCTCCAGCAGCCGCAGCCGCAGCACCCGCAGCCGCAGCAGCCACAGCAGAAGCTGCCAAAGGACGACGAGCTGCAGCCGGCGCCCGTGCACAACCCGCCGCCTCGGCACGTGCGGTTGAACGGGGTCCCGCCAGCTGGCAAGCACGCGGCGGACGGCCCAAAGGATGCGCGGCGGGAGGTGTACAGCATTCATGGCGAGCAGGTGAGACGGGTCTTCCAGGCAGTGCAGGGGGACTATTCAGCGGCAGCTGTGCTAGGCCCGGGGTCCAGAGCTGACCCCGCAAACCAAGCAAAGTGCAACAGCGCCCCTCTTGCGTGCGACGCGCCCCCTTGGTGAATGGCATCAGCAGACCCTCGGCCCTGCCCTCCCCCCCCCCCCC